CCCAGCTGAAATGAGTAAGTGTGGTGGTGGGTGTGGGAGGCCCACCTTAGGATTGCTACCAGCAGCATAAGAGGCAGAATGGTAGAAGAAAAAAAGAGGCTGTTGGGAGCTGAACAAGGCTGTTGGGAGCTGGTAGAAGCTGTAAGGAGCTGTTGGTTCTCTTGGAGGAGCTTGTCATGCTGGCTTTCCTGATGAACTTGGCTGTTTTCATCCTCCAAGGAGCTCAGGACCTTGTTGGCACTGAAAATAGCTTCACTGCACTTTGGGGGAGCTCTGGTCCTTACTTTGAGCATTGCTTCCTGGCTCCAGAGGGGAAGATGGTGCACTGCTCATTCTCCTGGAGAAGCTTGCTGCATTGGCTTTCCTGATGGCAACTCAGCTTTCCTAATCATCAGAGGAACTCAGGACTTCACTATTGCTGAGGATAGCTGTGGTACTTTTCAGGGAGCTGTGGTTCGTACTTTGAGCATCTCCTCCTGTCTCCATTGCAGATCCTTCAGCCTGCTAGCATATATCACTCATCCCACTGACACAGACTTTCTAGATTTCACCACTGACTTTTGGGCCTTCTCAATGCACATCCATGAAACAGGCCTGCATGAGATATCATTGCGGGCTCTGTGCCTCCAGCTGGATTCATGGGAGGCATTGTTATGGGCTCTAGGTCTTCAGCTGGATTCATGCAGGACATTATCGCGGGACCCAGGCTTTCAGTTGGATTCTTGGTGTCTAGTGTGTGGACAGATTTCCTGCACTCTCTTGTATATGATTCTTTGGTGGCTATTATAAATAATCTTATAGAATACGTGTCCTGTACTATATTGTTTCCCCTTGCAATATCGTCCAAACCAACACACCCATCTTCTGCAATATCGTCCAAACCAACACACCCATCTTCCATACATAAATGCTTGCATTTGGGGCTTGGATCTGGGTGTGGCATGTTGCTGTGTCCACAGTTCATTTAGGGTTGGAAGAGACATCTTGGAGGGAGAAGGCCCAGACCTTGCTCTGCTACAGTGGGTGTCAAAAATATAAATTGTGCCTAGTAGGGAGAGGGTGAGTTCACAGTGAGGCTGTAGGCAGATACTGCAGAGGAGTATCAGACACTACAAAGGGATATTGAGAAAGAGCCCATTGAAAGGGAACTGCTCCACAATAAACAAAGATCACACTTAGGAGGAAGAATTAGCTCCCAGGATACAGAGGAAGCCTTACGCTATCCCAACCTGTGCTGTGGTGTACTTATACAGCTTGGTATACATGAGCTGGGAAAACTTCCCAATAAAGACTGAAGCATCAACTGCATCTTGTATAGATATTGTATTAAAGAAATAGAACTGTCTTGAAGTTATAGACCTCCACAGATGAGTTTAACGTCACTTGATTCCCAGTCTTCAGCACATGGCTCTACTTTCCTGACAAAAAGGCTCCTGGGAACTTTGAACAGTGGTCTCCCCCATGGTCTTAAAGCCCCTGCTACTTGCTGCTACCCTCGGGAGGCAAAATGGAGGTTTCTCTAACTAGGGATTGAGCCATGAGTTCTTACTGTTCTCCTGTACTCCAGTCATATTCTACAAGACCCATGGAGTCTGGATTATTTAGTGGAACTGCTTAGGGGCACCATATGACAGACCCCAGAGTACAGACATGATGTGAGCTTAGAAGAGATTTGGACCAAGAAGAGAAATTTTTTGAAGTGTTTTCAGGCAAATTTCTTTCCTTCACACCCACACCCCTAGGCTGTTCTAAGAAATAGTGACTCTAAATAGTTATTCTGGAAATATCCTACTGAACAATAAGCTAGGTTCTGAAGCTACAGCCAGTTAGTTAACCTTCTACCTTGTACTCGCTTTTCTTCCAGTCTTCCTTCCTTTCCTTTTCTTTTCACCTTTACTTCCCTGCATTTACAGCCCGAAATGAGTCACTAGTTCATAGCTCAGGTTCCTTTTTAGAGTGCCTATGCTAACATAAATATAAAATATGGTCAACTTGGTGAAAGTTAGCAATGAAGATAGGAAAAACTTGGAGGCATTCAGCATGGTTTAGTATCCATAACAGGCTAGGGGCAGCATATCTGGGCTCTGGATACAGCATGAAGAGGGTTGATGACATGTTTGGAGGGTAAGGAAAAGAGTGGTTATAGAATTCTTCCACTAGAAGGCATAATTCCTGTTCTATGGTAATAGGTAGATTATAAAGACATCTTTGGTAGATAATTAAAAGACCTCTTCATGCACATATATGGCTATATTCCAGAGAATTCAGAAATACCTTGGGCAAAGCACTCAATTGAGGGATGAAATTTATTCACAGCATCAAGCTTGTATAGTAGTAAGTGGCAATAGGAAGTAATCAACCCATCACTGCAAATGGAGAGAATTAGAGAATTAATGACTCTCTTGTGAAAACCTGGGAAGTCTGTGCTTTGTTTTCTAAGAAGGGTATAGTGTTTCTTATGGGTACTTATGACATTACTTTACCCTCCCCATAGTCCAGGGGAGCAGACAATATTTTCATCCTCATACTCAGATCAGGAATTGGAAGATAAATGAAGTTAAGAACTTTGTCTGAGTGTCATGGTTTGTGTCTAGATGTTCCCCCCAAAGTTTCATGCAGACATAGGGTAGGCATCTAGAGTTTTTGATTGATTCATGGTCCAATGCTGGGATTATGGGGATGAGTGCTACACCCACCCTGGGGCAGGTAGTTTGCATATAATATAAGGGAGGGAAAGAGGCTTTCTTGCTGCTCCTCCCTTTTTGCTCTTGCTGCTTTTGTTGTCTTCCACAACCATGAACTGTTGCTCTCTGCCATGTGCTACCCTGCCTTGGAGCCAGCCAACTGTGCCTGAAATCTCCACAAACTGTGAGCTAAATAAACCTTTTTTTCCTTAATTCTGGTGTCAGGTATTTTGTCTCAGCAACCAGAGAGAAAAGTAACCAAGACACTGAAGTTACATAGATTAGGATTTGAACCACCTCAATGCTGTTTTATTAAAAATCCCAGTTGTTTTTCAAGACAACCAAGGACAAGTTGAGGTTCACTATATCTGAAACACTTTCAGGTGGCTAGTGGTTCTACTTCAGGCAATGAATCAAGACAAAAGAGAAATAATTAAAAGACTGAGGGAAGGGGACCTCTTTAAAGTTGTGCCAGGTAATGCAATTTGTGTTTGGATCAGAGACCTATAATTTATGTTCAGTCACATACATCTTTTTCAGATATGCATAAATTGGGGGAGTGCGTGTAGTGTTGTGTAACTAAATGCATTTATATGTGTTCAACACACTGTATAATTGACTCAATTATCCATGTGGGGATTATTCACTTTTAATTTGCATCTGGCTTCCCCTTTCAGCTAGGATGTTTTCTGGGTTGCTCCAGGAATGCCAACTAATTTAAATAATAATTTGAGTAGAACATAATTAGGAAGGAAAATTAAATTCAATCTTTTGCCAAATCTTGAAGATCTACTTCTGAAATGTAACTCTGGTCCATCCACTGTCTTTTCATTTCCCAGTGCCTGTTTAGTATCACAGGATTTTATTGCTTTCTGTAAATTATTGCAATAGTAGTGTATGTAGCTTTTCTGCTTACCTCTTTCCAATCTAATTGTTATTAGTGCCTGGAGAATGACAACAAAAAGAGCACCTATCACAAAATTTCTTTATTTGAAAACATTTAATGCACAGGAAAAATAAATAAAAACAAAACCAAAAACCCAAGACCCCAACATTTATTTAATGGTCACCCATTTCTTTCCAGATTAAGTGCACAGGCCAAAACCTGTTGTCATTCAAGCGTTTTGTAGCCTTACTTCCTGATTGTTCAAACTCATTCAAATTACCCTTCTACTCCTCAGCTTCTGTTTCCTTGCCTGTTTCCTCCTGTCTGGAGGCGGCTCCCTGCCAAGGTTACCTCTCATGACCCTTTCTGCATCCTGTCACCCCTCCATGTTTTTCTCCAAGACCGACTGAGGCATTTGTGGAAATGTGTCATTGCCATGCTCCTGTGACATTGTCTGTCTCTGGTGATTCACCTCCTCTACCACAGCGCTGGATCCCAAAGAACGGCTCAACAACACGGGTCCATTTTAACTGCAGCCCCAAAGGGCAAGACTTCGGGTCTTCTGTGCTCCCAGGGCCTCAGCAGGGCCCGGCACAGAGTGGGCGCTCAGGGGCCCCTCACTGGGGGCCCCTCACTGGGAGAGCCCTCACTTGGGGCCTTCACTGGGGGACACTCACTGGGGGACACTCACTGGGGAGCCTCACTGGGGGAGCCCTCACTGGGGGAGCCCTCACTGGGGGAGCCCTCACTGGGGGAGCCCTTACTGGGGGCCCCTCATTGGGGGAGCCCTCACTGCGGGAGCCTCACTGGGGACAAGCTCACTGGGGGCCCCTCACTGGTGGAGCCCTCACTGGGGGACACTCACTGGGGGAGCCTCACTGGGGGAAACTCACTGGGGACACTCACTGGGGACCCTCGCTGGGGACCCTCACGGGGGCACTCACTGGGGGAGCCTCACTGGGGACCCTCACTGGCGCCGACCACACAGTCCCGGCCCGCACCGTCTTCCCTTGGAGCTCCGCGGGCGCAGACCCCTGGCCTCCCCCGGAGAGGCGAAGCAGGGCCGTGCGGGAGCTGAGGCGCTGAGGAGGCCGCATGCTGCCTCCCGAGGGCCACTGCCATGGGGCTCGTTTAAACACCCCCCTACAGAAAAAGGCAAACTTTTAAGGCTGTGTATTCTCTAGGTTTGCGAGTACATACATATGACAGCTGTTTTACGTCTGTACACATACACAAAATGCACACATGTACACATGCCTCGTCAGGTATGCAGATATATAAACAAATACATACCTCCTGCACGGCCGCAGGGGGTGCAGGGTCCCCACCTTCCCGGCCGCGGGGCTGGGCGGGGCTGGCCCGCCGGGACTCGCCCTCCGGAGCGCGATCGCGGAGCCGCGGCGCGGTGTGGCCCTCCTGGCTTTCCGTCCGCCGGGCGTCATTGGTCGCGCCAGGCGCAGCTGACAGGAGGCTGCCGGGCGAGGGAGCTTCAAGGATGGCGGCGTCTGCGGCGCTGATCCTGCCCGACAGCCCCAGGTAACTGTCCAGCTGATCACTGCGGTGGCTGAACCGCTGTGGCGCGGCCAGGGCCCACGCGAGGATGGCCTTGCCGCCTGTGGCCTTGGCGCCGCGGCGCGGCCCGCGTCCGGGCTGGGTCCGGGTGGGCTCGGCCGGGGCCGCCCAGGTGCGGCGCGGTGTCCGGAGGAGCGCGGCCGAGCGGCGCCTCCGCCTTCCCGCAGTTCCTCTCCGTGCGGCTCGCGGGCCGCCGGGCAGCCGGTCGGCAGAGAAGGCGTGTCTGTGTCGCGTCGCCGTGCGGTGTCGGAAGTTCCCAGACGCTGTCCCGTGTTCCGTCCCGTCAGCGGGAAGGGAATTCCGCCTCGCGGTCCGTCCTTCCGTCTTCCCGGAGCTGGTGAGAGGCTCCTCGGTGCGGAGGCTGCTTGGTACTCCCTACCCCTGTCACGTCAGGTCTGAGCAGGCTCACGCAGCTCTCTGCCGGGAACCGGGTCTAGCCATACTTCGGTTTATTCCTTTGGTTTCCGTTTTATTTTTGCTTTAGTTGATTTCCCTGTGAAGCAGGGTAGGGCTAACTATCCGTAGTGGTGACGCAGAGTTTCTTTTTTTATTTTGAGATGAAGCCTCGCTACAGTATTTTCTCCCGGTCGGTCTGGAACTCCCTGGGCTCCAGATCCGCACACATCCCTAGCACCTGGGACAGGAGGCACATGCCACCACTTCCACCTTAAAGCTTCCTTTTAAAATAAAATTATTTAAAGAATTATACTTGTAATCTTATTGGCTGACCATAGTTTTGTCCCACCCCATGCCCACCTTGTGGTTTCCCATTTTCCCCCTATCTTGGACCCATCTCAACTCGTGGTTTTGGGCTATAAACGTCCCTAGGAAAGACAGAGTCTGGGGCAACCCACTCTGGCCCCTTTCTGTCCCTCTCTTGGACAGAAGCTTTCTTTCCCTCAATAAATATATTCTACTCTTAAAAAATTATGTAGGTAAAAATGACCCAATTTAATGAGTGTAGTGAAATAATTAGTGCACGTAGTGTGTAGATGAGAAATACTGAAGTGTATAGACAGATAATTAAAGTTGGAGAAAAATTTTGTGCCTGGATTAGGTAGAAATTGATATTTTAAAGTTTTTCCTTTATCCTGGATTTCTTTGGTTCTGATAGCCAGGCCTTAAACCCAAACAGGTGTATTGGGGGAACACACCCTCGGTCAGTAAACCTTATCCGGTAGGGTGCAGAATTGTGGGTATCACATTATTTGAAGATTATTACAAGTGAAACGGGTTTAAAACAATTGTGTGCATAGTAACTCTACATAGCTTTGCTTCCAATATTTTCCTACCCTTTTTTGCTACGCAGTATCTTGTTTTTTGTGTAATTGCCCGAGTGGCCACTCGTGACCTGTCACGCTTTTCGGAGTTTCGGTTTGGACTAAGTGGTTACATGAGGACCCACTGCTAAATTATTGCCGTTCCCCCACAGAGTACATGCTTCCCCTAATAGTTTGCTTTGCCCAAAACAAGTGGAAATGTACCGAATGGACCTCTTCAACCGAATGATTTTGGGGAGACATGTTTTTGGAAATGTTCAGATTGCCTGACTGTTTGACGGCTGCTGTTTGTTTTATTTCACTCAGACTAACCATGTAACAGAGTTGTTGAAATTTGTAGACAACTAGAGCAAGTACATTTTGATACATTTTAAAACTTTGTTTTATAAATTTATTTAGCATGAAAAAAGCAGTGTCGCTGATAAATGCACTAGATATAGGAAGATTTCCACGATTGCTTACCCGAATTCTTCAAAAACTTCACCTGAAGGTTTGTATTTTTGTTTTTCTGTAGTTTGTAAAACTTCCTTCTGATTCTACTGAAATGCTGTGTTATTATTTGGGGAGTGTTTTTGTGTGTATGGAATATAGTGTTCTCTAGTTCTCAGTAACACTGGTTCTGAGGAAGATTTGATAAAATTCCATGGTCATCCACTTGGGAAATTCAGTATTCAATAAAATTAATTTTGTGTTTGACTTTGGAACTATTTTATTATGGTATATATTTTGGGACTAATATTCTGTGGAATATGGTTTGGGAAAATTCTGATTTCATTTTTCCTCTTAATAATTCTGTGGTATTTGCTGTCAACTAGTATTTATCCTTTTACTTAATTTTATCTCTCTTCTACTTTTATTTAGAGTATGTGGTTTTAGACACTTAGCTATTTGTTCATTCTGCTTGGTCATCAGCCCAACTTAATTTCTTTATCAGCTTATAAAAATTTAATTCCATGAAATACATGTTTATGGAGCACCCATTGACTTCTCTGCCTGATGTCAGGCCTCAGCATCAAATGAGAAAGAAGACTTATTCTTTCTTCCTTTTCTTGGCTGGTAGGCAGCCATGGATCCATGTTTCACTCCCTCTCAAGCGTCTCTTGAATCTCAGTTTTCATAGTTCTAGTTCAGGTCCTTTCCTTTAGACTAGAACAGTTGCCTTCAAAACAGTATCTGTGCCTGTAACCTCCGCACTTTCTATTGCTTTTTCATAATACAATTCCAATACTCTTTCTAAATGTTTTTCTCTTTAAAAAAGATTGCTCATGTTTTTATAGTGTTTAGAGTGATTATCTATTGTTCCATGGATGAAAGTTCAAAATCTTTAACATTGTACACTGTATATGGTCCTTATAACATGGCTGCAGTCTTCATTTTCCCATTTTGCAAGTGTTCCAGCCGCACTAAACAGTACTTTTTTACTTCACTGTACCATGAACTTTTTCAACTATATGTTTGTGCATATAATCTTCTGTATCACTCCAAATGTTCTTTCCTTCTTCTGAGAAAACTATTCATCCTTCAAGGATTTTGTGGGCTCACTCAACAGTTTTTTTTTTCTGTTCTTCTAAATTCTTGGTTCATTCTTACCTTACTTTCAGACTTTATTGTAAGTATTTGTTTCATGACTAGAAGATAAATCCGTAAACCTCTTCAGTCTACCTGCCTCTGCCCTGAAATATCTTGAGGGGCATATCTTACTAATCTTTATACTCATACCTAATGCATTGCTGCTTACACAGTTGGCATTCAATATAAATTCTTGAAATTAATTCCTTTCTTTGCTGTGGGAAATGAAACAGGTGCAGGTCCTCTAAGTTCTTGCCTATAATATATTTGTAATTTAGATAGACAGGAAGAATAACAATAGTAGGAGCCACATTCTATAGCATTTGCTGTTCATAAACAGTTACACCATTCTCTCTGTGATTGATATTGTTCTAGTGGCTTTGAATTATTAACTCATCTAATCCTTAGAGCAATTTGAAGAAGTAGATACTGTTGTCATCCTCTTCTTATCTCTAAGCAAACAGAGAATCCAGTTAAGTAATATCCCCAAAGTCACCCAGCCAGTCAGTTTTGTCTGCCTCCAGTGTCTGTCCCTTTAGCCCATTTCAGTAAACACAGGCAAGAGGAGAAAACATTCTATAAATCAACCCAAAAGTGAATGATGCAGGCAATAAATACAGTTCTCTTTATTTTGTGAGGTGGGGGCTTCCTTCCTACATATATAAAATAATACAGAACAAGAAACTTATCCATATTTTTTTCTTGGTACTGGGGAGAAGGGAGCATTTGCAGAGAAACTTGTGATGTGTGATTTGCCTTTGACCCTTTGATTACCTTTGAAGTTGAGAATAAGTGAATAGCTCTTCTTGAGTGAACTGAGTAATAGGGACATTCCACAGAGGCACTGAAGGCTGTGTTATCAGAGCTAGGGGGAAGTATAGATGAGCACATGTACCAGTTGAGAGCTGAAGTAACTGAGGATGGATGTGAATACTTAGCAGCCAAGAAAACATCAAGAAAGGTATAAAAATTATTTTTTCCTGAACAGTTTCAGTTGATGATCTTCCAGAGGGGCTCTATTTATGATAAGGGCTCTTAAAATTTGTGGCAAATGTTAGGATCTGTCTGCCACCTTACCTTTATGTACTTTAGGTCTGGCAAGTTGGCTTTGTACCTTGAGACAAGCAGAGCCCTTAGAGCAGTGAAACCAGAGGCAGGTAGATGGTGAAGAGATATAGGGATTTTGTTGCCACTCTAAATGTGATCAGCGTGGTAATTTTATTTTACCAAATTTTATCTCGTTATAGGTAGAGAATGTCTGCTTTTGTCCAGACTGGTTCCTTGGAATCCCTCATAGGTATCAACCTGAAAATAAACTGAGGCAGCTTAGGTGTAGAATATGGGCATGTCTGACACAGATCATGAGGGAGTCCTCATTGAACTGGCCATCTTCCTGGCTCATCCTGGCATATACAAATGGATTTTTGTTTTGTGTATGTGGTTTTTCTGTTTTTTTTTTTTTTTTGGCAGGGGCAGGCAGTGTCACAATGTGTAAAGGCTGCTGCTGGCATTTAATATACTGGAATTTTAAATATCTTGTAATGTCTTATCAGCATGGCAGCTGTCCACATTCAGAAACTCTGAAGGATGTTGGACGTCTTTGATAACTTAGAGATAAACATTTGTGGCCTCTGAGCTTAAAAACTGGTGCTACAACTCCAGTGATTAAAAAAAAACAAAAAAACTTTAGTACTTTGCTTTGAAGAAGAGATTTCATGCCATCACAGAAAGCCTACTGATGTAGCTGTGATCCATATCTTGCTCTGACAAGTCAGCCATGAAATGACAAACTGGGAAATGAAGGTGCTACTATAATGGGGCATTTGGACACTTTCAACAAATGACTGCTGATCATGAAATGAAATAGAAGAACTATGAAAATCAGACACAAGAAATATCAAAGCACAGAATTGTGAGGCTTTTACAACTGAAGTGAAAATCATCTTGTTCTCAGCATTTCTTCAGGAGACTTTAGCATAGAACTCCAGTGCTCATAGTTATGAACTGAGTCATTGCGAGAAGTTAGGGTAATCCAGGTTATTTTGTTTGTAAGTGTCTAGAAGTGGGTGTCAGACTTAAAAATTTATAAGCCCATCAGTTTCCTTTCGCTATGAATTTGTTTTAAGTTGTCATTACATATGTGAATAAGTGAATTTTCTTTCCATTTTAAGGCCAACAGTGTATCATATGCTAATAGATTGCTGTTTGTTTATAGGCTGAGAGCAGTTTCAGTGAAGATGAAGAGGAAAAACTTCAAGCAGCATTTTCTCTAGAGAAACAAGACCTTCACCTAGTTCTTGAAACAATATCATTTATTTTAGAACAGGTATTTTTATTGCCTTAAATGTCCTATGGTTTGTTTACTGCATATTTGTATTGTTGTGATGTCTATGAAATTCTAATTTTTTCAAATTGTGTGAAGATGGAAACTGTGAATATATTTTAATCAAGAATTTCAATATGGTTAAAAATATTTGAACATATGATTTCTTACTAGTTATTTCATTTGACAAAAAACTGTTGAGTTCTGTTAATAAAGATTTGACAGAATGAATTGGGACTTCATTGACTTGAGACAGTTATGAAAGATTTGAATTCAGTGTTACTTGGCATAATAATTTGGAAAAATGAATACATTTGCAAAATTTAATAAATGATTTGAGGTGTATTTGACTAGGATGATAAATACATTTAGAAAAGTATTGTCATAATATTTTTCCTATTGAGCATCTCTTCTACTTCTGTTCTTCTGGACAACCCCCCTTGAGTTCATTCATTATTGTACATGTATTCTTCCCTTCTCTGGATTTCTTTTATCCTTGGCTCATCATAGTTGAGCATATTGTTAGTCTTTCATTATTTCATGTGTGAGTTATGTTACCTTCACTGGATTTTGAATCTTTTGGGGTGCAGCATCATTTTTTTTTGTGTGCATTGTGTTTAAGCCTTGCACTTTGTTTTATTTGACTTAGCTTAAAATAAATGAATGAATAAATAAATGAATGAATAAATTTCTTTTGGTTGACTACATAGAATAGTTGTCAAACAAAAAATTCAGTAGTGCTATAACTTTATGGGTATTCTCATGAATGGATACTCTTAGGAAGACAAGCTGTCAGGCTTCTACAACTGTCTATAGATTGTAGATCATAAAGACTATGACTGTGGGTCTTACTCTTGGTGAGCTTTCAGTAGAGGTGAGGGATAATTGAATAGGGCAGCACAGTATAAGGCTTATGAAAAAGTTGTTGCAGAATAATATAAGAAACAGAATAGATACCGCTGTTAAACACTTATGACAGTCTTTTAAAAAAATTATTCATTACCTAGAAAGTTGATAGATGAAGATAGTTTTGAGAACTGTTCCTTCAAGAAAAATTTGTCTAGAAAGAAAACCATACAGACTTCAAATAATTAGTGAAATAGATAAAATATTTTAATTAGGGTACCATTTGGATAGCCAGAGTAAAGACAGTGTTTTGGTGATTTAGTGGATTTAGGATTTTTTCAATCACGTGCAAAAATGAAATAACTTAGGCCTTTTAATCCTGAATCACTTGTGTGTATTATTATTTATAAAACAACCAAAAATATCTGATTATAGTAGGAATGTGAAATGTTCTTTTGATTTAAATCATTTAAAAATAATTTTGTACTGATTGCAGTCAAAGTCTCTGTATAAATGTGAAGGATAAATGTAATTTCTTTTCTCTTTAATAGGCAGTATATCACAATGTGAAGCCAGCAACTTTGCAGCAGCAATTAGAGAATATTCATCTTGAGCAAGACAAAGCAGAAGCATTTGTCAATACATGGTCTTCTATGGGTCAAGAAACAGTTGAAAAATTCAGGCAGAGGATTCTGGCTCCCCACAAGGTATAGGATAAACTAACCCAAGTATACTTTTTAGTAATATACAACATAATTGTTATACCTGAGAAGTTTTTTATGTTTCTGGTTTTTTTTTTTTTTTTGGAGACAAGGTTTTGCTATGTAGCCCAGGCTGGCCTCGAACTCATGGCAATTCTCCTGCCTCAGTCTCCGGAGTGCTGGGACTATAGGCGTGTGCTAACACGCCCGGCTTACCTGGAAGGTTTTAAAATTGATATTTTGTTGAGAGGTAGCGTCAAATAAAAGTACATAATATTCCTGTAAAATTTGCTCTACATATTAGCATATTTGCTGCCATAATATGATTTAATTTTAACTGACAGTTTAAAATACATCTCCATAATTTAAGAATAGGAATGACATGAAGCTGGGTGTGGTGGCGAATGCCTGTAATCCCAGCACTCGGGAGGCTGAGGCAGGAGGATCGTTGTGAGTTTGAGACCAGCCTGGGCTACAAAGTGAGCTCAAGGCCAGCCTCAACTGCATAGCGAGACCCTGTCTCAAAAAAAAGAAAAAAGAAAAAAGGAATGTTGTTAAGCGGAGTTATTATTCCTTTATCTGGGTCTCCATCCATAAGACTTACTTTAATTTTTACTGTATCATATATTTATTTGTTTTTGTGTATTTGCATTAGTGCTTAGCAGAATTTCTTGTGTTCAGCAGATATTCAGTTAATATTCATTAACTTCAGTAGTAAGTAAAATGAATACTAGAAAAAATACACAGTATCATGAAGGTCCTTTACCATAGTAACCTTCAGTTCACTTCTTAATGGAATTTGAGATGATCATACAGTTTTTGCCATTTTTCTATTAATATGTGGTATTATGTTAATTAATGTCAGATGTTCAGTCAACTTTATATTCCTGAGATAAATCTAATGTTGTCATTGTTTATAATCCGTTTTATATGTTGCTGGATATGATTTGCTGATATTTTATTGAGGGTTTTTCCATCTATGTTTATGAAGGATATTTATCTGTAGTCCTCTTGTGATGTCTGGCTTTCATATCAGGGCAATACTGGCCTATAAAATGAATTGAAAGTCTTCCCCATTCTCTATTTTCTGGATCAGTATTTTGCATTTCTATCAGCAATATACAAAAGAGTTTCAGTAATTCCAAATTATTGTTAGTACAGCAGTTAATATTGTCAGTTGTTTTTATTAAACCCATTCCATTACATTTGTGGTGATGTCTTGTTAATTGCATTTCCCTAATATGTGAATGATCTTTTTATGTGCATACTTGTCATACATAGATCTTCTGTGGTGGCATGTCTGTTAGACCTTTTGCCTAACTCTATTTCCACATTGTAATAGATGAAGAAGTCTCTTTATATTAATATAAAGAACACTCACATAACTCCTTGCCTGTAGAAATACATAAGTATTTTGTTGTTGTTGTTACAATGTGTAGAAGGTATTATTTATTTTTTTTCTTGAGTTGGTGAGTTCTTTGGGAATTCTAGATATAAATCTTTTGTCAGATATGTGATTCGACAATGTTTTTGTCTGCTTGTAGTTTTACTCTACTTCTCTTAATAATGTCTTTCACAGGGCAAAACCTTTTAATTCTCGTCCGGTTTAATGTATCAGTTTTTTTTCTTGACTCTAATTTTGGTTTTATATCTAAGAATTTATAGCCTGATCCAGTATTATAAAGATTTTCTTTTTTGGTTCCTTTTGAGTGTTTTACATATTTATGTTTTACGTTTAGATTTTAGTCTAAGATCCATCTTGAGTAATTTTATTTAAAGTGTAATGTACAGGTCACAAGTCATTCTATATATGGTTTCCCCTTTGTTTCATGATTATTTGTGGATAACATTATCCTTTTGTAAGTGAATTTCCTTTCCCCGTTATCACAAATCATTTGACATGTTTGTGTGGTCCTTTCTGGATTCTCTTTGATTCCACTGATCATTTTGCTATCTCTATGGCAATAGCCACTTGCTTAATTACTATAGGTTTATAGTGAAAATAAGAAGGTGTATGAATCTGCTAATTTTGTTATTTTTCACAATTGTTTTGGTTATTCTAGTTTCTTTGCCTTTACATATACATTTGAACATCAACTTTCTATATTTACAAAAAAGTTACTGTTGGCATGTTGATTGGGATTGTTTAATTTATAGTTCAATTTGTGGGAGAATAATTTTTAACAGTATTGAGTGTACCTCTCCGTTTATTTAAGTCATATTTGTTTTCCTTTGTCAATATTTTTCATAATGAACGTACAGATCCAGTGTGTGTTTTGTTAGATTTGTAGCTAAATATTTCATTTTTCTTGTTTTTGAACTATTATAAATGGTACTGTTTAAACAATTTCGGTTTCCAATTGTTTTATTGTTAGTGTATAGAAATATAATATATACACACATATGTAATTTTTTTTGAGACAGGGTGTTGCTGGTCAGTTTAGGCTGACCTTGAATTCAGCATGTAGCCCAGGTGAAGCTCGAATTTGTGATAATCCTCCTGCCTCAGCCTCTCAAGTGCTGGCATTATAGGCATGTGTCACCCTGCCTGGCAGTATGTAATTTATATTTCTATATTGACCTCTTACCTTGTGACCTTGGTAAATTCATTAATTAGTGATGATGCTTTTAAAAGTAATTTCATGTGTTTTTTTTTTTTTATGTAGACAGTCATATCTGTGAACAGTTTTATTGCGTTTTCTTTCCAATTTCTAAGACAGCCAGGAGGTCTTTGTTTTTCTTGTCTTCTTTTACTGACCAGGACTTTCAGAACATTCTTTATTTGTTTCCAATTTTGGAGAGAAATCATTCATCCTGTCATCATTTAGCTATAGTTATTTTAGCAAATGCCCTTACATTTTTTTAAATCTCTCCTTTTTTAAAAAATTGAACTGTTCATTCTGATTGCTGTTGAATTATTGCTTTATTTTTCATTATCTGAGATTTTGCTTTTTGAGACAAGGTTTTAAAGTGTATTCCAGGCTGGCTTTGAACTCACTGTATAGCCCAGCCTGGCCTTGAATGTGCAAAGATTGTCCTGCCTTAGCTTCCTGAATGTTGGGATGACAGGCATGCGCCACAACACCTGGCTCTTTTAATACTAGCCTATTCTTTATTTATATTTTTCTTCTTCTTTCTTCTATTTTATAAGGTCTAGTTTTTTGTAATCATGCTGTAAAATTCAAAATTTTCTTTTTCTCTTCCAGTAGTAATATATTTCTCAGTGTCTTTCAAATGATCTTTTAAAAAATATTTTTCTTCATAGGTTTTATAACTTTAGTTTCTACTTAAGAAATGGTTTAGTTCATTGTCATGTTAAAATGTGCAAAAAAGAAATCAAAAGGATTTGTACATTAGCCCTTTGAGAATGCTGGAAATTATTTTTTGCTAATTCCCAGTATATAACAAGATAGCAAATACTTTATTTTAATGACTTAAATTGTTAATTAAGATAATATAATGCTAGTAAATACTTACTGTGTTTATGGTGGGCCAGATACTATGCTTTATATCTCACAAAAGTCATCAATAGTTCTAGTTTGTATTGATACACTTAGTAAGACTTTAAATTTAAAAGAAATTTAATAACTTATCCATGGTCATGCAGGTAAGTAAGTATTAGTGGCAGAGTTGGGATTTGACACACTCCTAAACTATCATGCTGTATTATCATGTAGATCCTGGGTATCTGACTTTTGGCTTGCCTGGGCCACATTGAGTAAAGAGGAACTGGCTTGGGCTGTACATAAAATATAATATGTGGTATTTATACACAGCAGAGTACTACTAGTAGAAAGTAGGAAGATCTTTCTCACATGGGGGGAGGCATAAGAGATGGAGGGAGCAGCAAGGGAGAGGAGGGAAACATGATGGAAATAAAAAGAATGAGAAAAGAAAAATTGAAAAACATATATACAAATATTTTAACATAGTATTTTATGAAATAACCCAAGAAGCCTGTTTAATAATTAAATAAGAAAACTTACTATCTGCTTAGTAATGATAAATGCCTGTCTTTACATGCACACACGCGTACGTAGGTTGAAATATTATCAGTAATTGCTGCCTTTTACTCACCAAGCCTTACATTTGCAGGTAACATCTGAAGCACGTGTGTTTCCATTCAGCTGACTGTGTGGTGTGTGCAGGAGGTGGAGTTAGTACTGTACCGTGCCTTCTTTTATAGTGTTCCACTGTCACCTAAGTAGCCCTCAAGCACCCACAATATAGTCATGAAAAATATCGCTAAAATCATATAATGTTAAAAGTTCAGTTGGAGCATGAATTTGTCATGTGTGAAGACTGCCTTGAGTGTGAGAGTTGAAGCAAAGATTATTTCTATAGTAGACTTTTGTTTGTGTTTACATTGTAGTTCACGTGGGTTTTTATTTCTGATGTTATCTCTTAGGTTTTGTAAGCAAGTACACAGCTAATGTGAAAATGTTGATGTGTATTCTAAATGCACAATACATATTAAGAATTTAATACTTTATTTTACTGATATTTTATGTTCCTGTTAACTACACATAACATAATAAGAACCTCTTGACAAAACAGCAAGACTAGGGCCAGGGATACAGCTCAGCAGTGCAATGCCTACCTGGCAAGTGTGAGTTCAGTTCTAGGCAACTCCCCGCAAAACAACAAAACAAAACAAAAAAACCCAGCAAGACCAGCAAGATGTCAAGTATATTCTACAAAAAGACCAAAAAAGCAGAACACATGTGCTGTCAAAGTGATACTTGTGTATGGAACATGCTTTTGTCATGTGTGATGTTCATGTGAACTATGTAGTACTTGCAGTGGGATATATGTGGGTAATAATCATAAGTTCAAAGTAAAGATTTGCTTAATAAGTTAAGTGGTAGGATTTCCTGTAACCCCAGCATTCTGGGAATGCTAGGTAGGAGGATTAGAAGTTTGAGTCCAGTCTAGGCACCTTGTCAACAAAATCCTGTTTCAAAATAAAAAAAAAAGAAGGGCTGGAGATGTATCAATGGTGACGC